CTGTATCTGGCAATTTTCCTAGAGGCCATATTCAATAGCATCCTTGGCAAAAGCAAAACAAAAAATCCCACGTATTTCCGCCGCTGGGCTTTTACACAGCTCTGTAGCAGCTGCTAGGTGCTTAGTAGTTATTGCTGATACAGACACCTGCTTTGAACCATTATGTTCAGAACTGCTGCGGGGCAGGAGCTAATAGCTATCAGTAGCACCTGTAAGAAGAGCATTCTTAGGCTAACAGATAAGGTGCATCTTGGGTTTATGTTATCTTCAGGTGGCAAGCCAGCCACTTGGGGTTGCCTTTACTATTGCCACCTTTGCACATTTACTCAGGAGAATTTGCCTAGCAAGACGAAGTGGAAACAAATACATTTCACGTTGATTTGGTCACTTTTGTCTTCTTGTCAGGTTTTCTTGCTAATGGGATTAAAGGAGGCAGCACATCCTGTTCAACAAAATCTGCAGAATTTCCAACTTCATGCAGTTAAGCAGTATTGCTTGGTCCACATTTAGTTAAAATACAAATCTTTCATCCAACATGCTAATAAAAACCTACCCCATGCCCTGGGCTGAAAATCTCCCAGCTCCTCTTCCTCTGGCCCGTCCAAATCCTGCAGAAAAGGAAGAACTTAGTTTAAAAGGGCCAAGTGGATAAAGTGAGTTTTCCAGTACTCAAGAGGAAAACAAGGAAAGGAAAAAAAATACTTTTTTTTTTCCTTTTAAGAGTAAAATACATCTTGGACAAGGAAGTAGAACCAGATTTAAGATTCTGCCAAGATAACAATTCTTCCTCCACCTTCTTAATATTCATAAGGAAGGCAGAGGAAGAATTGTTATCCTGCTATAATCCTAAATCTGGTTTTACTTTCTTGTCCAAGATGTAGGAATGCAGGATCATATTAGTCAAGCCTCAGTTTACAAAAGCCACAGAAATTCAGCGACCACATTCTAAGCCTGTAAATACATCCAGTCCCATAGAAATGACCTTGTTATTCAGCTTTATTTGACTTCCAAAACATTTTCATTGCTAAGATTCTGGGGTAGCCTTGGACTAGAATCTGCCATCTCTGTTTTCAGTTGGGTCTTTTTCAACTCCCCTCTGTGTTTTTCCCAGCCACTCCTTTCTGACTGTACAATCAGTCACAGCCCAAGGACTAGTCAGGTGTTAAGAGATACTGCAGGGATCTAGCCCTACACTTCAACATCAACTACAGAAAAGCTGGAGGTAGACAGGCCCTGCACTACTGAAACAGGACATGACAAAGAGCTAGAACAGCAGCAAATGCAATATAATATTATTCTTATATATAAGAATATAAGCAAGCAACTCAAGCTTTGCAGTACACACACACACACAAACATCACACACAGGATTACAGTGAAAATAAAAAGTGAAATTTGCAACAGGTGAGCTGCCCACTGTGAGATACAGAATTTACCAACCAACCCATCTGAAGAACATGAAGGAGCGTTCTCTTCCTTTTTCCTGATCTGCCTTATTCTAGTCCCAAGGCAGTAATGACCATATGTGCTCTGAATAACACTTTCCAATCCCCAAGCATTTTTTGAGACATGGAAAGCAAAGCAACGCATGTGAAAATGTTTGTATCAAAGGTGCAGTGTAATGAGAAATAGCTGCTTCACACAACTGCTTTATCTGTGAGACAAAAATAAGTATCTCAACATCCTTCTGCCTACTCTGGTGTTTTCCAGCCTCAGCAACTTCCAAGTGGCCCTGCTGGCTGGGCAGTCCTGGGAGCTGACGTTTGCTCATCTGAAAGTTGCCATGGCTGGAAACAGTGAACAATGCAGCTGAAACGGGCATCTTGGTGTATGTTCAATATAATAAACACAAACATGGGGGGAAATACCCTTAATGTCACAACCAGACTTGAAAGGATAAAATACCGAATGAAGATTCTCCATTCTACCCTCAGTGAAAGGGGAAGAAGATTAAGTTGATGCAAACACCACCTTCCCTTCCCTTCCCTCAAATCTTGGTTGGCTTAGTATCTGATGCTTGCATTGTTCTGCTTAGCTAAGAGATAAGAAGAAAGGCCTTTCTTCCCCCCAAATGGCAAGTTGTCAAAGTAGAAGTTCCATTTAGGAAATATAGATACTCTTCCAAAGTCTCCTTCAACATTACCTCATCCAGAGGCATCTGCAGCATGTGCTTAAAAAAGGCAAGAGGATGGCCCTGAAAGTCTAGATCAGTGTTTCTCAACTTCAGCATCTTTAACATGTGTGGACTTAATGGCTGGCTGGGGAATTCTGGGAGTTGACATCCACACATCTTAAAGTTGCTGAGGTTGAGAAACTCTAGTCTAGAAGGTGATGCACCCAAAGAAGAGGCAGAGCTTCAATCGTAGTATCATGGTCGCCAACTTGACTTTTTTTTACCCACCCACCAAAATACCTTCTATGAGTCACCATATCTCTTGTCTCACAGGGACTTCAACAGGATCAGACTTCTAAGTGTTTCTTTTAAAAAGGTTGCTCTAATCATCACTACTCTACAGGCACAGCCTTTACACAATTGCCATGATAATTAAAGGTGACATGACACTTGTGTTACCTGGGCTCTGTTATATTTGTGTTGTTTTAAGAGCTGGTCAGTTTCTTCCCAAGAAAGCACAACTGATCCAAAAGACAGCTTATGCCAACAGCATCAGACGCTTTGCAGATGCAGACACAAATCATCTGTCTGCAAGACTCAGGTTTTAACTAGTCTTGCTTCACAGAGGAACAGCTCATACTGTGCATATCATATGTTAAGGGGAGATAATGAGCTTCAGAATGAAATGAATCGGGAATTTTAAAGATAAACTTACTGAAGAGGGATTATTGTAGACTCATTATATACCAACTGTTTTTCACCCCACCGCTGCAGTTGGTACAAAAGCAGTTAGTACATGCACTCAACAGACGAAGTGAAATAGTACCAGATATTATGTTCCTATCCTTCTGATCTTACACATCGTACTCTTTGCTTATTTAGATTTTATTAGGTATTCGAACCAGCAGCAGCTCTCCAGAAAAAATCATTTCTGTCATCTGCTGCCTAACCTCTTAATGAAGAGGCACTGGACTTCACCAGGCCTCTTCTGCACATAAAACCTGAGCTTTGGCATTGGCTCAGTCCCCCCCTGAGAAAGATAACGCCTGTCCACTCCTTCTCTGCTTCCAGCAGGGCTTATTTGGAACTTGGCTCCCAGATCTTTCCCCATCCTTCATGAGAATCACATCTCGGAATGAGTAAGAAGCTCTAAAAATATTCATAAACATAAAACGGTCCACTTTGCAGGTTATGTTAAACTGAACCAGGGATAACAATGCGGACAGGCATACCTATTAGGGCCTGCCAAGGTCTATGCCAAGATGCAAAGCATTTGCATTCCCAGCTGTACTCTGAGAGGATGGGAACATCCTGGGCAGCTGGGAGGGCTGGAAGGGAACAACCGGACCGGTGGGTCTGCTGAAAAGCGGGCATTTTGGGGTTCACGCGCTGAGAAGCACAGTGATGCTCCTTCTTCAGGTTAAGTCTTCACTGGGGGAAATAAAGGCAGCGTTCAACTGAGCTTGTCACAGGAGGCTATTATTGCGGTACTAGCCCACATTGTAATCCTGCATTGCCCAGAAGTTAAAAATACTGCTGCAGGGCTTTACGTTGTTTTGGTATCAAGAGATCAACACGCAAGTCCTTGGCAGCAGAGGCTGGTTTCAGTGTCTGGCCAAGCCAAGGATTCCGTTTACATTCAACGCCAGAGAGGCAGGAGAAGAAAAAGGTCAAGCGTGGACAGACTCTCAGGCACCCCTGGGGGACAACCCTCCACAATCTTCTGCACAGTCCAGCTGATTCCAGACACTAGGTAAGATTTTTATTTTAGTCTGTGCGCCTTTGTAGCTATCTGATGTAGGGGAAATTCTGTCAATTCCAGCCACTTTCAAGCACGTCAGACAATGCTTTTTTTATTGGTAAGATGTTCTTCTTTGCCACAACATACATTAAACACAACACGCATTCCCAAACACACAAACAAACTCCTGTGGACCTTCTAACCAAGAAGCTGCAGAAAATGCTTTGTGGAAGCTTTTCACAGAAGCTGTTCCTTTTGAGCCAGGTTTCTTTTTTAAAAATTATGAAAGGTAGCTTAACCACCTTGAGCATTAGCAGTAAGGAAGGGCACGTAAATATCAGTATTTTACCTCTCCCTCTGCCACGTTTCCCACGATCAGAAGGCCTATCACCAGGGGGCATTTCCACTCCATTTTCTTCAGTTCTAACTAGATATGAGAGGGGAAATACAGAAAAATAGTTTTAGAACATAAATACCATTTTAAGAGTGTTTATTTAGTCAGACATTTTTCAGCTGTACACCAACATGAGTAAGACAGCAAGAGGGAAAGGAGGGAGGGTGCAAGGATTGGACTGGCAAATGTGACTTTTGCCCACTGCCTTTGTCCTGAGATCCACGTGGTAAGCCCATGGTAATCAACACTTGGATAATATCACACCTTCACTTTTCCACAAACTGACAACTTGAAGCTTCTTTCCATTCATTTGGTTACACATTTTCATGCTATCTTTCATTTACCTAAATAATTTAGGGCCGGGAGTTTTCTGCTTATTGTTTATATTGCAGGCGTGTTTTACTGTGTGTTACGGTGCCCTTACAGTTTCGAAGTGTCTGTTAAGGCGCTCCAAGCCTTCTTCGAAGGACTGAATTGAAGGCTGTCAGGCCTCACATCAAACAGTTGAGAGCCTGCAGGCTGCCTCTCTCACATTGTCCCTCAGTGCCCAAATCACCCCAGTATTCTCATCCTTGGACAGAGAGGAATAAAGGGTAGCAAAAGCAAACCAGGATCAAGCTTCTTCCGAGGGCAGCTCTGCGTATGTTTTCCCCACCAGGCTCTACTGCAAACATACAACAAAGCAACTCGAGACCAACGTGCTCCCAGACGGGCAACTACGGCAACCGCAATCCTAGCAGCACGATGCCTGCGCTTACACTCTCGACCACGGCTGCCCCCTCTTCCTCGTCTGTTGGAACTTCCCCGTCCACGGCTCACTTCTCTGTCCCCTCGCTTTTCTCTGTTCTCTTTGTTTTCTGAACTCTCTTTTCCAAGACTTTTCTTCTTTCCTCCCACCGTCTCCCACGAAGTCTATTTAGGTGGAGAAGGAAAACACAGAACAATTCAAAAGGGATTTAAAGACTGCCTTACAGAGTATCTCCCAACCTCAATCCCCGAAACCTCGGGGAACATTTTTGGACCCTTCCAGCGCACAAGGGGCACCCAGGCAAACGCAGGACCCACAAAAACTAGAAATCTGCAACACCAGAGCAGCATTCTTAGAAAGGAATTTATCGCTTTATGGCTTTTTAACTGGCATGGCGTTTTCATAGGGACAAACTACTTCTGATAATAACCATGTGTATTTTTAGTCCCAGGAAGGGGTGAACAAGAAGAGGACATGGTCCTAATGGAACTCCCTTTCTCCAGGCTGCTTTGGAACAAGATTCCTTCCCTCTCTAGCCTTGCTGGGAACTCCAAGATACTGTATTTAGTAAAAATAACAATAACAAAGACGTGTGCATGGTGTTCCACTGGAACACACCCTCATTTCTTTGAAACCAGGATTGTTACACTGTACCCGCTCTTCTATTATAAGACCACTGATGATGGTGGAGATACAGGCTTTTTACACTTTGGTCTTACATGCAAAAATGTTAGTTGCTTCCTGCACTCATACATTCAGCAGGAGGAGGAGAATAACCCAGCCTACCCAATAGCTGGTCCACCAGCGCTTAAACTGTGAACTGGCTAGGCAACAGCTACGTAAATGGGGAAGAAAAGGGGGTCCTTTCTTTTTGCAATCCTAAACTGTATTTTATCCAACTGTCCCAATACTTTCTCATAATGCAATGCACAGAATGTGTTCCCTGAACCAGGTGATTTGTCTGTTCCTGGAAGGGGAGCAGGGTTGTCCAATTTAAGCTATTCCAGGAAGAACGGGCATGAATCATAGCCACAAACATATGTAAGGAAGATAAATACCCCGCTGTATTTTTTTCCAGAAGTGTCCATTCAGGAGGAATTATCCCCATTTCCACTACCCCTGTGACTCCTCCAGCTTATAGCCAGCTTAACCCCAATGACCGACGTGATCCCTAATAAATCAACAACATTCTCAAACTTGGATATGTATAAGCCTTCAGGGAAAGAGAATTCTCTAAGAATGCTACCTAGCAGAGAATCAGAAAGGAAAGAGATGCAGAGGTATAAATTCCAACCTCCAGACAGGGTAGATATAGGTTTGGAACAAGACAGGAAGGGAAACTGCTGTCTTTCTCATTCCTCCTCAAACGTTCTAGCAGGTTCCTATCTGGCACAAGATGGAACGGAAACCAGGAAAAAGACCTGTTACCCTGCTGATGTTGTTTCTGCTATCTTAAGCAAGAAGGCAAACAGAACACTAAAGGGGGGAAGGGTGTTCTTAACCTACCAAAGAACAATTGTTTTATTTTTCATCATCTTAATGAAAAAGAAAACTGTCCTAGCTTATTTAATGCATACCGGGCCACAACCATGAGAAGGAGGCTACGTGGATGGCACAGTTTTAGAAGAGGGAAGAAAAGAACAAAGTATAAGGCGTTGATCAGAGAATTCAGCAACATAAAAATCTCTGCTTTATTTCTTTCTTTTTAAAAAGCAAGTTCCTTGTCCTTAATGTGGCTCAGGTATGCTTGAATGTACGTGGGTAATACTTGTTGAAATTTCAGAACCCAGAAAGATGACAAAGTAAGTGTGGAGCTGGAGTTTCAGTTTCCTGCATAGTTCATTGTGATGTTTCAAACTTCAGCTTTCTTGAACTATAAGCAAAAGTTTAAAAAGCACACAGAATCCTTACCAGGAGAAAATGACTTATCTTAGTATTTGCAGAAAAGTGGTGGGAAAATATTTTAAAAATGGAGGTTGCTTATCCAATGTTTCTGAGCTCTACCTATGCCAGACTTGTCCTAAAAGTTTTAACATTTTTTTAGCCTTTGCATTTCCCACTAAAAGCAGGAAGTCTTCCTCAAAAGTCATCTTTAAAAAAGATAACTTTTAAAGAACTCTAAAAGACTCTGCATTGAGCCCTTACTGTATCTGAGCTTCCTTCCAGCAAGATATTGATTGCTCTGTTCACGTCTCCATTACAATCATGTAGAGCTACTATGCAGTCATCCTGATTCTTCCCTGTCACTTCCATGAGCTGAAAAAAAAATCACATACAAAGACATTTTAAAAAGCAGCCCCGGATAACCAGAAGGAATTTACCCAAGAAGTAGGAAAAATGTGTGAATGAGTTTGTGCGTGCATGTGTATATTCACATATAATTATACCTCCTCAGACAGGTTACAGTCTATGGCAGTGTTTCTCAACCTTGACAACTTGAAGACGTGTGACTTCAACTCCCAGAATTCCTCAGCCAGCATATGTTGCTGGGGAATTCTGGGAGTTGAAGTCCACACATCTTCAAGTTGCCAAGGTTGAGAAACACTGGTCTATAGCAAGTTATAGTCAAGTTGCCAAGGTTGAGAAACACTGGTCTATAGCAAGTTATAGATATAATTATACCTCCTCAGACAGGTTACAGTCTATGGCAGTGTTTCTCAACCTTGGCAACTTGAAGATGTGTGGACTTCAACTCCCAGAATGCCTCAGCCAGCATATGTTGCTGGGGAATTCTGGGAGTTGAAGTCCACACATCTTCAAGTTGCCAAGGTTGAGAAACACTGGTCTATAGCAAGTTATAGATGAGCTTAGAATCACTGCTACTAACTTCAGAATTTATTTATTTAATTCAATTTGGGCACCACCTGACTCCAACTGACACTTGTAGTCCACAAATAATAACATTTTAAAAAAAAAAACCAAGATGGGATCTGGGCACAATATACAGACAGAAAACAAAAATAATGAATGCACCCAAGGGGCCCTATCTGTCTCACCCCAAGGCCTGGGAGAACCGTCTTAGCCCCCAAATATTAAACGGTCCTTTAATTTCTTCAAAGACTATGTAGCCAGAACCCTGGGCTGTACTTGGAACATAAAAGACTTTATAATCTATACAATTCTAGGCCAAACTAGTGTCTTAAATCTGGGGACTCGAGTAACTTAGTTTGACCATTTCCCACCCTCCCCCTTCCCATCACAGATTGACTGATTTCACCTTCAAGCCATGTTTCAACTTCTCCACTCGCTGTGAGGCTTGGAGCCAAGAGAGGTTTTAGGGAAGAGATTAATACTTCCTGCATGCACAGTGTGCAGACAGGAGCTCAATGCTTTTTCATGCTTGCACTGGTGGTAAGCGGGAAAAAGAGATAAAAACACCTGTGCAAGTAGAAGCAAGCCTGGAGTCAATGCCAGGAAAATGAAACTCAATGTCAGAAGGACAAAAGAGAAATCCACCTCCACAAAAAAGATCCCAACAGAACACAGTTTTAAGAATATCCATCACATAATATTCTGGCTTTTCTGCAAATCTCAACCACTTACTTTTACTTAAAAAGATACTAATCTTCACAGCAACAGATCAGAAGTGAGAGCAAACTATGTTTAAATTTTAGGAAGCAAGAGGATTTGGATATGGCTTCAAAACACACAAGACTGGGCTTCACTCACTAAGTACCATGGCAATTTCTTCTCTCTACAGCAATATGTCTCAACCTTGGCAACTTGACGTGTGGACTTCAACCTCCAGAATTCCACAACCAGCATGGCTGGCTGGGGAATTCTGGGAGTTGAAGTCCACACATCTTCAAGCTGCCAAGGTTGAGGAACCCTGCTCTACAGCAAAGCTGGGGAGGAAACTTACTTGTTTCACTTTATCTTCAAAGTCTGCATCATTCTTATCGTAGATCATTTGAGCGAGACGAATTTGTTCTGCTGTTGCCTAAGAAATGCAAAAACATCCATGAAATATAAGACACAGGTCTACATTCAGAATCAGTGTACCCCCCCTCACTACTGCAACTAACTCTTCTATTTTTAACTCAGGAGGAAAAAAGTAAGCAGATGTCTTCTGCATTCTTTCTGTCCAGCAACCTCAACTCCAGATTATAACCAAGTATTTAAAAAAAAAAAAAAACCCAGCAGCAGACCAACAGGGAACAGTTTTTGTACAGGGCTTAACACAGCACACAAGAATGGACTGATAAAATCTTATCAAATGAAACATACTTCAGGGATACATTATTAGGCGCCATAATCAGCACTCCAAACCATAATTAACAGGCCTTAAGAGTTTTTGTGCTGATAACTGAGGATTGGGTTGTCTAAATCTGTGAGTTCTTATAACAGGGTTAGTATATCACATTAAGGATGGTTCATTTAACAATGGTTAATAAAACTGGCTCCAGCTTAACACTAAATCTTCTTTTCTTCAGGCAGTCAACTATAATTATGTTGGAAAGCAAAAGAGTAAGTTATTGGAGGTCTCACTATCTATGGCTGGCCCTTAGATAACTTCCTCTGTTGGCGTTCAGGCTTCATGCTCCAACTGACTAAAAATATATATATTTAAATCATAATAAAAAGGATGGGAAGCTGATATGTTGTAAAACAAACCACCAGCCTCCAGAATCATCTTTATTTCCCAGAAGCCTCTGGGTTCCATAAGTATGTTTAGGAAAAAAAAGGGGCAGATGGCTGCAGGTCATTGCTTTTTGGGGAAGTACAGGGAAAAAAATCGGAGAACGATCATCCTCATTCTCTTCATCATGGCAAGTTTGTCTTCTGGCAAATGGGTATTTTCCAGCTGGCCATATCTCCCAATGATCAGGAACCAGAGTCAATGATTTGCACTTACCATTCAAACAGAACTGCAAATAAACTCAAAACTAAGGCCTGAAATCCTAACCTCGATATAAAACAGTTTGATCAAACCAGGAAGCACCTGGCATGTATTAAGAGTCCACACACGTAGTCTGTGGCCAAAGTAAACCACAGGTTAAATATATTTGCATTTTTCATTTAAATACATCAGCTCTAATTTATGAATTCAGCAAAAGGAAGTTGCAGAAAGACTATACATTACACCAGTTGGTGATAATATTGGAGAACTCTCTGGCATGGACAAGAACCCTGCAAACATAATGGTTGTAACCCAAATTGCGTTTTCTCTGTCCTGGCTTGTTACTTTTTGATTTGCAGAAACTTCTGCAAAAAGGGCAGATATTGAGGACGCATTTAGGGAGAAGAAGACCCCACTCCCTGAGCTTGTAATCTGAAGGACACTCCATCAGTGACATCTGAAAACTGAATTTCAGTTACTGCTCTAATTGGAGGCCAAGTTTTTGCTTTCCAAAGCAGCTCTTGAGGTTGTCCAGGCACCAGAAAAATTAAATGGTAAGAGGAAGACAGGATGCTGTATTCCATGACATTTCATTGAGACTTTTCCTCACTGCCACCAGTTGACAGAGTATTTTACCAAGGTACACAAATATGTCTTTGTCCACAGCATCCTCCAGCATAAACTGTTCTGTGGGTGGAATTTGCTCCCTGTGCCATATTTAACTGCATCAGGAAGGAATCTCCCACACACACTTCAGCACAGTTAGTGCCCTTGAACTCAGCCCCCTCACCTTCAGCACAAACACCTCTCACTTGCACGAACTCCTCTGGAGTAACTCTCTCTAAAACCCTTTTCTGTGTGCCCAACTGATCTTTGAGAAGCAAGCACAATGATAGCCCAGCTCCACACCGCTGGCCAGGCAGTAAATCAGGCCCTCTCTGGCTATGAAGCTAATTAAAGGATTGTACCTAGCAAAGCTCAATAAACCAGTGTTAGAAGCATTGCGTGATTACTTGTTATACTACTGGAAAAGCATTTTCTCATTCAGCCCTTGACCTTTCTAGAGAGCACTAATGCTACGCTGATTACTCTTAGAAGTGGCTTTCCCCCCTCTGTCATATCCCCACAGAAGTACTCAAGTAGGAAGCTGAGACAGTGATTGGACGCATCACTCATGCCCAAGCACAGACTGGAACCTGGCAGTCATCTGTTAACGACTGCCACACACCACTCTGGTTCCCAAAGACTTTAGAAGCTGTCAAAGTAAGGTCTCTTTCCCAGAGAGCAGTGTGCATGGTGCAACTCACACAGCAGAACTTCAAGCAGACTATTTCCTCATGCAGTCTCTTTTGGATCAGAGAGGAGAACATGCAGTTCCTGAAGCAACTACACTAAACTGTGGAACTGTTAGAGCTGAGAATCTTTATTATTTTTTTTTAAAAAGCAAGCCAACTCCCTGGTTAGAGAAAAGTGGAATGCCAAGAACTGAGAATGATAACAAATCAATCCCTTATTATTTTGTAATCCTTATTATTATAAAAATCTTCAAAAGGCCCCCTGCATTCCAGGACTAGAAGGGTAATACTATACAGGTAGTCCCCAGTTTAAGAATGAGTTCTGTTCCCAAGGTCTGTCCTTAAGTTGAATTTGTAGGTAAGCCAGAACAGTATTATTGTATAATACTGTATATGTAGTATTTTATAATGAACTTGAACCATCATGTATTTAACTCAAATCACTGGGTATTTAACTCGAATTTTGCTACAATAGGCACCGTTCTTAACTATAGGTCATCCTTAAACCAGGTGTTCTTAACCCAGGGACTACCTGTATGCACATTTAGCATCATGTCCTACATAACCCTTCAAGTGACACTGAAACACAGTTACAGAGGAGCTAAACTTGATTGTTACCCACTGCTGCACGTGTGTGTGTGTGCTCTCAGGCTTGCATCTCTAAATGTAGAATTCCCAAAGTATATCCCACAAAGCATTTGGCTTTTGTGAATGCTAGAACTGAGTGCTTTCCAAAAATGGCACAATTTTAAATCGCTGATCAACTGAGCATTTACAGAAATCTTCCAGGTAATTAATACGTCATCACTCTTTTTCCTTCCAAGCTTGAACTTCCATTGGGGGTCTAGGAAAAGCTACACAAGGGCTTCTGAGGTCCTAGTAAACAATATTAACCCATAAGAGATGCACCAAAGTTACTAGTCTTACCATTCTGGATGGGCAAACAACACTTTACTGGGTTTGAATTAATCCCTCCTACAAAGGACAGAGAATGCCCCCCCAAAAAATATTCCATCAGAGCTTGCAAAGCACCGACAGCTACTTTCGTTTATCTCTTCTCCCTCAAGTATGTAACTGCACATTTGGATCAGGTAAGCACACAGGCACACTGAAAATCTCAACCAGAGAGTTTTTCAGCTTAGAAATGGTTTTCCAACTTTTCTGGGGCACCCACACCTCAAATCCAGGTAATTCCTCCTGATAAATGTAACTGTACACTCACAATTTATCTGGTGACATTTTTGCTTGGCCATTAACATTCATAGGTTAGGTACATGGACCAAATGCTACCAAATTCCTACCTGGACTACTGGTTTCTGTGGCTGTGTCGGCTGCGTGGTTGAAATCTGTGTTTTTTCTCGAGTGCCCCGAGTACGTTCACTGCCCACCGAAGTCATCATATACAGTATATACAAAACAATGTATGTACAAAATAGAAAATCTGAAATGAGAAAGAAACACACACTGAGGCACTACTTCCAAGACAAAAATGCAGATGATAGTCTAAGATGAACAGAAAAGGGATTGAGTTGCATGTATATGTTAAATTAAACCAGGTGGGCCTTTTTTTTTTTTTTTAAATGAGGGGTGGGAAATAGAAATTAAACAGCCCCCAATCAACTTCTGGGTACAACTCAAAGTGCCAGCTATCACCTATAAAGACCATCATGGAGAGTTCTTCATGGAGAGTTATTTCTGGGACCACCTATCTCTGACTACTCTGCTCATCCCATCAGATCCAGGAATGCTCCAGATCTCTCCTATTAAACAATGTCATCTGATGGGATCCAGGAGATATGCCTTCTCTGTCACAATGCCTGCCCTGTGGAATAGTCTACCCCCACCCAAATTAGGAAGCCTCCAACCCCTTTGGCCTTTTGTAAGGCACTGAAAATGTGCCATTGACCTTGGGCGCTGGCCCAGGGTGCTAGGTAAGCCCATCTTTAGGGTTACTGAGATGAATGAGATTGGCCTTGAATATGCTATGTATTATTTCTGTTATGGGGCGGGGGGGGAGAGTGGCTTCTTGATTGCTGTTTTAAGCCAATGTTAGTTGCTCAGAGTTACACTGTGTGAGAGGGGCGAGGGAAGGAAGGAAGGAAGGAAGGAAGGAAGGAAGGATGGAAGGGAGGAAGGGAGGGAGGGAGGGAGGGAGGGGCGAGCTTGGATCATTAAAGTGGCTTATAAAATAACTAACTAAAAGTACTGGAGAGTGTGGAAAGTGGGAGGGAGAACGTTGTACAGTATGTGGTTTTCCAGGAAGCAAGGAAGGCTAACTATTGAGGAACTACCAAACTCTACATAGGTCATGTTTAATTGCCTTTCTGCACAATTAAAATAACAACATAAAAGATCAAAAGACAATGAAAATAATGACATAAAAGATAAAAAGTGAATTCTTTTGGTGGCTTTTTTTTAAAAATGTGAATTGTGTGTGTGAATTGTATGTGTTTAATTCATATCTCAAAAAAAAAAATCAAAAGAATTCACCACACTTATTGCAAAGGAAGGTCTCTCTTACGCTGAAAAACAGTTATAATCCAGAGTGTTTAGAAATGAGGTTCGGTCAGCTCTGGTGTCCATAAAAGG